TACAAAAGCCCTAACCATAAGAAATCTGAAATGATTTTATTAATAACACATTGAAAGTATTGCTAGAGGCCCTCCCTGGTGGCGCAGTGGGTTAAAGCGCAGCACTGAGAAACTAAAGCCACTTCTGCGTGAGTTCAATTCCTGCCTGCCCTGGAGGTGACCACATGGTGTGGCAGACCTCTCCTGGCCCGCCCGCTGCTCCCTCAGCAGTGTACTTCATAGATCTGCCTGTTCTGCTCCCCACTCTGTGTCTGGTGAAGCCTCTTGCCGCCCCTGAGCCTCTGGCCTGTACCCCAGTTCTGAATGCACAAATAAATAAATCTTTTTTTAAAAAAAGAAAGTATTGCTAGAGACTCAGATTTTTCATAATGATTAGTATCAGTTTACCAAGAACATAAAACAAACATAATTACAGAGCTTTAAAACACATGGTTTCAAACAGTGCCATAATTGAAAAGAGAAGTGAATATATCCACACTCCTACTTGAAGAACTATGAGTACATGTAGGAACAATGGTGAGAATAAAGTCAATTAGAACATCATCAAGAAATTTGATTTAATTGATATTTATATAACATGGAATACAACTACAGACAACATATTTCAAGTACATATATGAAACTCACTATAACAACTTATGTTGGAGAACAACTAAAGCTCAATAAATTTCAAAGGAAATTACATATAGTATGTTCTCAGACAAAAACAGAATTATTTGGGATGTCATTTATCTCTGCACGGTTAAAAATTGAGCAACACATTTTTTGTTAACTAGTGGGTAAAAGATAAACACCAACAAAGAAATTATATATAAATTCAAATGAAGTGATAATAAAACCACACTGTATCAAATTTCATGAAACACAGCTAAGTAGTAGATTGCAATAAATATATAGCTTTAACTAATATTTTTATATTTCAGAAAAGGAAAACTCCTAGCCAGTTATTTGAACATTGAGAGGAACTTGTAAAAGGAGAAAAACGAAATAGGTATAGAAGAGAATCAGAAACATAGGAGTGGAAATCAGTGAAACAGAAAATAATAGAAAAGTAACAAAGACAAGGTTTGGTTGGATTTTATAAAAGAAAAAAGTTAATGAAATTAATACAGCAATACTGATAAAGAGAAAATGAGAGAAAGTATTTTACCAATAACCAGAATGAAAGAGGGGTGTTACTATAGATCTTAAATATATAGAAAAGATGTTATAGGGATATTATCAATACCTTCATGCCAATAAATTTAACATATTAGAAAATACGGACAAATTGTTTAGAATGTAAGTCCCCAACTGACATAAAAATTCAATAAATTGGAATTACAGCATATCTACTTAAACTGATAATGTAATTTAAAATCTTCAGCAAAATGTTAACCACAGATTAATTCTATGGAAATTTTATCAAGTATATACAAATGAAACCATGAAATGTCATATACAAACTTTTTTTATAAGAGGTGGGAAGAAACAATATCCAACTCATTATGAGATTATTATAACTCTAAAACTAAACCTGAAAAGGATATAACATGAAAATATGTATATATATATGTGTGTGTGTATACATATATATATGTACATTCATTACAGTATCCTCATGAACATAGATACAAAAAACATTCTCAGCAATGTATCAGTAAGGTGAATTTACCTAATTAGCAATATTTTTCCACATAGTTGCATGCAACCTGTTTGAAAACCATAAATCAATTTGCCTTTTCATTTTATAGTTATATTGGTGCTCTTTTGTTTCCAATCTGCAGGACTCCAGTTTATCAGATCACTTTGGATATCTTTGTATGTTATTGTTGCTGCCGCTATCCCCTATTCAAAATGGAGAAGAGAATAAATTCAGATTCCAGCTGTGGCCACTGTTACTGCTGTAATAACCATTGGAAATTGAAAGTTGGCAACAACCAACAGGAGGATCAGGACTAAGGTAAGTCAAGTGTCTTAGAAGTCAACATAATGGATCACTCAAAAACATAGTATTCAATATCCTAAAAAAAAAAACATGATGAACAACATTTCAAAAGTTTAAATAAAGCCAGGGTGAAACATTGCTTTTGTACAACTTGGTCTCTCCCTGATTCCAACTGTAACATCCTGATGCCAAATTTATTGTTTCCTGGGAGGGTGGGGAAAAGTCAACCATATTCACTTTATAGCTCCCTTTTCCTAGGCTCATCCTTCAAGGGGAAGAGGGCAACCAAAATTCTAGTAATGTTAAATTTACAAAGAGAATACTTTAGTTTATAGAAATGATCTTTCTGGAATATCTTACTGATGATGCCAACTGAGATTATTGCCTACATTTATGCATTAATGAAAAAATATTTTTAAAGTGGAAAACATATGGAAAAGTAATCTTACTTTTTATGTTACCCCACCATATACTAAAGCATGCACACACACATATGCATACAAAGGCACAAAACACAAATGTATACAAATATATAAACAGTGCGGCTGTAGAGTTCTAAAATTGAGGCATTACCTTTCATGTGTCATGATAGGTTTATATTGATTTTCTGTAAGTATGATAATAAACTGGAAGTAATGCACTTTTAAAGGTATTTCAGACCAATATAAGAAAAGACATAAATATCAATCCTTTGGGGATGCCTTCAAATTCAGTGGTTTACTACTAAAGTACCTACAAAATAATATAAGAAATAAATAGTAGATACTGGCACATGGGATCTCTGGGCCTGTTTCAAATCATGCATTTCCATGTATTGAAAAGGGCATAAAGAACTTCTGATCCTTCCATGAAGCATATATATTCTAGCAAAACATATAGACTGCTGACTTGTTTATGAAGGTTTTCAAGACTCATACTAGTCAATTTATTTAGGAATTTTGATCCTGCTACTCCCCTGCCTGATAGGAATCCAACCAGCGTTCTAGACTGCTGCATAAACATCCTAGTCATCTTGTCAAAACACCATTAGTGCCAATTTAAAAGCCAATTTACTTCTCAGCTTACCTTCTCATTCTGTCAGTTTGGAATGCATTTGTCTTTAGTGAACAGAAAACCAATTACAGTTGCTTAATCACTCAAGGGTTTATTTATATCATGCAACCTAAAGCTTAGAAGATAATAGTGTAGAGTTGTTGCAACAGTTTGACATTGTTATAAGAAATTCAAGGACTTTTCATTTTACCACACTTAATATATAGACATTTGTATGATGGTATTCATCTCATGGTTACAAGTTCATTGATTCAACTCAATATCCATGTTAGAAAAAGGAAATTAGACCAAAGAGATTCACCAGTTTCAGAAACTAGAACATGGATACTTTGTGGACACATTATTATCCCAACCATAGTCCACCATCTACCTTCAGGCCCCCAGTGATTCACATCCACCCCATATAAAAATACATATCCCAATCCACAGAGATTTCAGATCATTCAAGTATCAACTAAGTTCATAATTTCATCCAAATCTCATCAACTCAAAAATTACAACTTTCATCTAAATTGTGTAAATTATATATGAGTGAGATGTGGATATTACTCCTCACATATAATTCCTCTGTATCTTTGGATCAGTGAAACTGAAGACACTATCTACTCTCCATACCATATAGTGATATTCAGGGTAATAGTTACAGGCAATCCAGTTCAAAAAGAGAGAAAGTGGAAAGTGAGATGGAGTTACTTATTCCAGAAGTTTAGAAACACCTCCAGGAAAACTATTTGCTTTCAAGGCCTGAGTTTGATACTCTTTCCTCAATATTACCAGCTTTGTCCTCTACGTCATCCTCCCTTTTTCATTACAAATTGTATATGTTTTCAGCTAATTAGTTCTTTTTTTCTTTTTAATCCTATCTTAGTTTTTAGTTAAAAAAAATTACCATCCAAGTTTATCTTCTGTTATTATGGGGTGAGTCATATCTCCTTAATCATTTCTAAAAATTGGTCAAGGCCATTTGTTTTCCTCCTCTTTCTTTTCCTTTTTCTGCTTTTAAATCTCACAACAATCTTTTAAATATGTCTGTATCCTCAAGTAATTTAGCAAGAGAGCTGTGTAAATTTGTGAGAATGGTATGGTTATCATAACAAAATTTATTTTATTTATATATAGGGGTACAAGCCAGAGGCAGGGGCAGCAAGAGGATTCACCGGAGACAGAGTAGGGAGCAGAATAGGGAGACTGACAAAGTACACTGCTGAGGGGAGCAGCAGAAGAGACAAGAGAGGTCTCCTGCACCATGTAGATCACCTCCGGGACCAGGCATCGAACTCACACAGAGGCTGTGGCTGGCTTGCAGTGCTGCGTCCTAGCCCATTGCACCACCTGGGAGGGCCCTCTTCCTTCATATTTTTTGCCCAGTATCATGGCCTAATTCCAAAAGTTGTAGATGTAGCAGTTGGAAGATCACAGTCTCATAAATTAGGGCTTCAAAAGAGGTGAGGAGAATTTGGACCTAAGTAGTTTTTAATCACTCTATTTCTTACTTACAGAATTTGGGGTATAGTAGTTTTCTCTTATTTCATCCTCTCTTCCTCTCAGTTCCTTAGAACCTTCTGAGCTCCTTGTGTGAGTCACAAGAGTTCATTTTACTGGACAAGAGGTACCTTCACAATTCTTTCCTATCCCTCACTTCTGATGAGAGGCTGAAGATATTCATGAATCCCATGTCTATCTCTCCAAAGAACGTCTGTGTGACTGAATATTCTTACCTTTTAACCCTTTAATGTCTTTTCAAGGCACTAGAAAAAAGTTGTCTCAACATTTATGAATTTCACTTCAGAACATGCTTCCCTGATAGTGATCTCCCCATTTTAGCATTGTTTGCATTCTGAATAGGCTGAAAATTTCCCAAATTGAGTTCTGATTCCATTTTGCTTAACAATTTTTCCCTCAAACTATCTGTTTCCTTTCATCTTTTACTGGTAACCTGAAGAAACAGACTGTGCCTAAATACCTAAGTTCATTGAATACAGGTTCTCATTTCTACTGCAGGATATAAGTTAGTTAAATTTTATATCATTGTATAATAAGGATTCCCTTTCCTCCAGTATCCAATCACAATTTCCTCATTTCTTTCTGAGTCTTCACTAACAATTACTTTAACAGTCATTTCTATCAACAGTCTCTTCAGGTATTGATTTAGGTATTTTGTAAGGCAAAAAATGTTTTCTCCATCATGCTTGGTACTTGTAAATCTTCACTAGCAGAGTTGTTAACATCCATATTTCACTAACAGTCTTTCCAAAGCAATCTAGGCTTTCCCCATCATGCTCTTTAAAATTCTTCTAGACTATGCTTACTACCAAATTCCACAGAAAGTTCTACATTTTTAGTTTTTGTTACAACAGTACTTCACTTCCAAGTACCAAAATCTGTAACATTGAGAGAAAGAGAGCCATCAAAAGATATTAAGAGAGTTATTGTAAGGAAATGATTTTTCCAGTTTTGAGAGCTGACTACAGTTCAGAATACAACTGGCAATTATAAAGGGCAAGTTGGAACTCTGGGGCTCAAGCTGAAGCTTCTGCCTATGGGAGTATTTCTTCTTCATTTCAGAACTCAGCTCTGCTAACAGCTTTTCAACTGACTGACTCAGGTTAGTCTAGATAAAATAGGATATTCTCCTTCTCTTTAGGATTCAGCAACCTTAATTCCACCTGGATCTTAATTAAGATCCCCCATTGCAAGATAACATAAAATGTTACAGCTTCCAGGGATTAGGATGTGGACATTTCTAGAGGGTACTATTCAGCCCACCACACCATTCTACAGCATCTGCAAAATTAAGAAACCCCTGGTTATAGAGGATTCTGACAACAGAACTAATTATTTCTTCAAATCATATAAGTCTCCTCACTACCATATCCTTTAAAGAGTAATTCTTCCTTGGTTAACTAATAAATACAATTATTTTCTTTCAAAGTCAACTAGAACAATGTCATTATACAAAGGCAAATAGATTTTTGGCATGTTGTGCCATAAAAAGTTCTGCTAGGCCCATAAATTGGAGCTCTCTTGAGATTTTTTCAGAATTAGAATAGGGTAATTGCAAGTAATGCATTTCTTGGTCCTAATGTGTACTAACCTTGAGAGTATATAGGCACATTATATAAACTCTCAATCTCAGTATTAATAGTCAGTTCAGGACTCCAAGCAGAATCCTAACTTCAGTTAGATATAAAGAAGACCCATAAATCTTTCAATATTTTTAAACCAGAATAGGTGGTAAATATTATAGTCAGTCTAATGATTAAAAGTGTGATTTTAAAATAAATGTCATAAAATGGTATGCATTGCTGCTTATTGGTGAGATGAAATTTCAGGTTTGGAAGAAACTAAACATGGGAAGTACAAGTTATTCCATCCCAGACAGAAAAGAGGTTGTAGAAAAGTCATAGCAGTGTAAATAATAAAAACTGGGAAAATGTTACTAATAATTTTAAAAGGAGGTGTGATAAGAAAAAGGGCATTCTTCAAAAGTGAATGACTGGATTAAAAAGATGTGGTACATATACACAATGGAATATTACTCAGCAACCAAAAAAATAAACACATAACTTTTGCAGTGACATGGATGGAGCTGCAAAAGATTATGCTTAGTGAAATAAACCAGGAACAAAAGGAAAAATACCTGATGGTTTCTCTCATAGCAGGAATATAACGGAACAGGCAAAAAAATGATAATGATGATCAGCTATATACCAGAGACATTTTGTGGGAGTGGAGTAAGGAATGGGATAAAAAACAGGGGCTGGGGGGCCCTCCCTGGTGGTGCAGCTGGTTAAAGCACAGCACTAAGAAGCTAAAGCCACTTGAGCATGAGTTCAATCCCCGCCTGCCCCAGAGGTGACCACATGGCGCGGCAGACCTCTCCTGACCCGCCCGCTGCTCCCCTCAGCAGT